GATTCCCTATGTCCCCAACACAGCTAATAACAATAGCCTGCTACTCAAATCGATAACAGCCACTGGATCGCCAAAGAAAATTGTTGATGCATTCATACATCATGCAGTGACATGATACTACATGGCGCACCATGGGCGACTTCAGCAAAATGTGTTCATTGGAGGGAAGCGGCGCTTTGTGCTTTAAAAGCATTAATACAATTGTTTTAACTTTAAGCTAGAAAGAATCCAGAAAACAGTAGGCAAAGTGTGTATTGATGTTCATTCAACAGAATGGCCTTCCACAACCTTGCGCCCTCTGTTTGTTTTGGACTACAACTTTTAAAATGTGTTGGGGAGGTGGGGGTTATTGGGTTCTTTGCTGTTATTGTGCATTTTGTGTTTTTGTATCATGATTTTATGTTGTAACCGCCCAGAGACCTGCGGGCAGTGCTTTTTTCTGGGGAGGCGCAGGGGTACGCATACCCCTAAACATTTTGTGAATCTAAGTTTGTCTTCATTGAGGGGCAGTATTTCAATATGAGTAGGAAAATGAGAGCACCCATAAACATTTTTTAGGAGAAAAAAGCACTGCCTGCAGGTATAGGGTGGTAAAGGTAAAGGTACCCCTGACCATAAGGTCCAGTCGTGGACGACTCTAGGGTTGCATGCTCATCTCGCTCTATAGGCCGAGGGAGCCGGTGTACAGCTTCCAGGTCATGTGGCCAGCATGACTAAGACGCTTCTGGCAAACCAGAGCAGCACACAGAAATGCCGTTTACCTTCCCGCTGGAATGGTACCTATTTATCTACTTGCACTTTGACGTGCTTTTGAACTGCTAGGTGGGCAGGAGCTGGGACCAAACAATGGGAGCTCACCCCGTCACGGGGATTCGAACCGCCGACCTTCCAATCGGCAAGCCCTAGGCTCTGTGGTTTAACTCACAGCGCCACCCACGTCTCATATAGGGTGGTGTACAAATTTAATAAATGACAACAACAACTCCCAGGAGCCCAAATCAGCCTGGCCAAATGGTCAGGGATGATGGGAGTTGTAGTCCAACAATATATGGAAGGCACCAGATTGGGCAAGTCTGCAGTAGAATACGAAGAGGACTCAGTCAGTTTTCTCTGAAGGATTCTGCACTTGCTTGCCTTACACAGGCACCTGGTTGGCTCCTCTGAGAACAGGATGCAAGATTAGATGGGCCGGTGGCCTCATCCTTATGGTCTTATTGAGCAGGGATGCTTCCCTATGATGTTCGTGTAGAAGGGTTTATGCATGCAAAGGAAAAGGACAATATACCGGGGGAGTATACCCACCTAGGCATAAAATCAAATAGTGTACTAGATTACCTTTTCGCCTCGAGTGACCTGATTTCGAAAGTTCTCTCTTTTAAGATTGGTAATATTCACTATAGTGATCGCCTTCCACTTGCTGCTACGTTTGACCTAGACTGGCACGGGGACGAGCACGGTCATCTAACTCAATTAGATACTAATGCAGAAAACCCGGTAGAGGGTATTAATACGGCATTACGAGTGAAGGGTACAAAGTGGTCTGTAACGCAGGCTCAAAAATATTCTGAATTTTTCAGCAGGAGATCATACAAACCTATTCAGCCCTTGGCATAACTTCATATGATCACGATCAAACTATTAATCTATTTGCCAATCTGTTGAATGACCTCATGTCATTCTTTTCTGTCCCAACCCACCAGGCAAATTGGGCCCACCCCAAGACAGGTGCACCGTGGTTTAACCGTAATTGCAAACAAGCCAAACAACATCTTTGTGCTATTTATAATGATTACAAATTCTCAGGGGCGATTACGCTTCCCAAGGAGTACTATCAGGCAAAATCAGCTTACAAATATGTGCAGAAAAAGGCCAAACAGGAATGGCAATTGAACCGCTGGCAAGCACTTATAGCTGCCTCAAGTACCCGTAATTCCCGAAAATTCTGGCTGTTGGTTAACAGAAAATCTAAAAGATACCCCTTAACAGTTATTCCTGCCCCAATTTGGGAATCCTTTCTAAGGAATTATTTTGCCTTACCAGACCTTAATATTAATACAATCGATGGAGTCTATGAGCAGCTCCCTCTTTGGCCACCCACTGACCCGGAAGAAATCCACGGACTTATTTCTAATCTTAAAATCGGAAAAGCCCCTGGTCCTGATCTAGTCCCGGCAGAAGCTATAAAACTTCATGCTGACTGGTGGGCGAAAATCTTGGCCGCTACCTTTGATGCCGTAAACAACAGTGGGAAGGTACCAAGAATTTGGAAGGATGCGATTATTGTTCCAATTCATAAAAAAGGCTCGACAGATGACCCGGGAAATTACAGGAATATCAGTTTATTGTCATTAATTGGGAAAATATATGCACGGTTCTTGTTAACTAAGCTTACTAAGTGGGCTGAAGAGAACAACCTGATTGGGCCTGAACAGGCTGGTTTTAGACCGAATCAGTCAGCGGTTGATCAGGTCTTAGTTTTATACCACCTTGCCCGGAAATACTCCTCCCCAAATAGAGGCCAACTTTGTGCGGCCTTTATTGATTTAAAGGCCGCTTTTGACAGCATCCCTAGAGGATTGCTTTGGGGAAAATTAGCCCGATGGGGAATAGACAAAAGACTTTTGTGGCTAATAACTAAATTGCATGACGGATCGGCCGCTAGGGTGAGAATCACTCCGGCAGGCGACCTCTCAAACTCAGTAGCTATTAATAGAGGTGTGCGCCAAGGATGTATCCTTGCTCCGACCCTTTTTAATCTATTTATAAGTGATATGAGGGCGCCTCTGATAGAGGCTCAAGAAACGATCCACGCCCCCCGTCTTGCCCAATATCGTTGCCCCCTTCTACTCTACGCAGATGACGCAGTGATCCTATCCTTTTCAAGAGTCGGCCTTAGGAGGGCATTAAAAATTTTCGATGTTTACTGCAAATCAAATTTTCTTACAATTAACCATGTTAAGTCCAAAGTCCTAATTTTCACCAAGAGTCGAAAAACCTATAATTGGAGAATAGACGGAAAAGCTATTGACCAAGTCTTTAAATTTCAGTACTTGGGAGTCTTTCTCCAACACAACATGGGCTGGAAGGTCCATGTTGCATATGTATTAAACAGAGCTAAAGCCCTTTCCTATGCGCTATTGCGTTTTTTCTTTTCAGATGGGGCTTTCCATATTCCATCAGTGCTAAAAGTTTTCAAGGCAAAGGTGATTGCAACAATAGCATATGCAGTCCCATTATGGGGTCCTTTGCTAATCTAACCCATTTGGAGGTAATCCAAAACCAGCTTTTAAGAAGGTTGTTAAAATTACCCAGGTGTGTAAGCAATACTGCTATACGACTGGAACTAAATGTTACATCTCTAGAAACCACATTATGGAAATGCATCCTCTGTTACTGGTTGGCTTTATGGCATAAACTTCCAAATCTCCACTTGATACAATGCCTCTGGAGAGATGACTTCCCTAGCCCCTGGGCAAAAATAATACATGGGAAACTTGTGTCCCTAGGACTATCTCCATCTGAACTATTAAAATTGGATTTAACTTCGGCCAAAAGAATTATAACTCACAAATTAGAGGAGATGGATTTACAATTTAATATTGCGACAGGTGGTGGCACCTGTTCGCCGATAAACCTTGGCTTAACACCACCAACGAAACTTCCATCTTACTTAACTACCTTATCTGTGGTGACGCACAGGTATGCCTTTATAATGGCCAGATTCAATGCTTTCCCATCAAACGTGTTGGGTAACAGACTCTCCAACGGACAGATCTCACTCCTCTGTGACTGTAAAAGCGGATCTATAGAATCGTTATATCATATAATCTTCTGTTGTCCATTACATACGGCTTCACGGTCCAAGTTTCTGGCCCCATATTTATCGAGAATCGCTGACAGTCCTCAGGAAGCCCAAATAATATACTTATTAAACGACGAAGATACAAGTAGATCCCTTGCAATCGCTAGATACCTGATTAATGTTTTATTTCAAAAGAGGAGAAATGGATCACTGTATGTTTCTGACAGCTTAGCTAAACTTAAGAACCATCAATAAGTGCCAGAACTAAGACGTATACCCCAAAATCTGATGGATCGGAATTGCGGTTTACATAGAGGGAGCTTATTGTGTATAGTGTTTACTTAACTAAAGTAAAATTGGTTTTATAAGGGTGTTTTAACTTGGAACTGTTTAAATGGTATTGTTTATGGATAAATTCTGATGTATTGTTTTTGATTTGGGCCAATGGCCGTAAAACTAATAATAAAAGGACAATAAAGGGTTAAATTAGGTATGTGGGTTAATTTTCGGTGTGCTTGTCCTGCACCTGCAACCAGTTAGGCATGTGAGAATGAGTCAGCAAACACGTGAGAGTGACTCAGCACAATCTAAAGCTGCTAGAAAGACTGTATGTTACAACTGTATGTAACCTATAAGCTGCGGAAATGCATTATACTGTCAGCAAAGGGACTGACGCTACCTAGAACTGTACAGTGTTTTTCTGTTCCATTGGCACACTCTGCTGGTGTGTCGAATGGGCAGTCTGCACATTCCCCAGCATGTGATGCTATAGTGAGCCCACCCGCTGATTTCTTGTTGTCAGGAGTACTTTTAATGTGATGGTTTTGATGTGGTTGCTCAAAATATTTCTACCCATTCATGAATTTCTGAATGTTGTCCTAGAATATACTCCCTTAAGGAACAGACATGATTTGTGTTCTTGCTCCTCAATCACAAACATGTTCAGACTGGCTGACAATCATTAAATCACTACAATGAGAATAATAGTGACAAAATCAGTACAAAATTCATAATGCAGTCATAGTGCTCATCACTAATGGACTAATTATCATAGGAACATAACCCACTGAAACTATGGCAAGAAATTTATTCAAACAGATTTCACTAGTACACAAACTTCATGGGTGAATACAAAAATTCTGTAGAACTACGCCTACCAAACATCTAAAGGGTAATGCTTAATGTAGACCTATTAAAGGGCTGGATGGCTCAGTTGGTAGAACATGAGACTCTTAATCTCAGGTTTGTGGATTTGAGCCCCATGTAGGGCAAAAGATTTTTGCATTGCATTGGGTTGGACCAGATGAACCTTGCAGTCCATCTCTACAATTCGATAATATGAAATTAACAGACATGGCTGATTTAGGTCCAAAGATTTCAACGGGTCTACTCTGAGGAGGAGAACTCAATCTTTTTCTACAAAATTATGAGAAACCAGTTCTGTTAAGATTCCAAGAGAGGCTGATTGTGCACAGTTCTTATTGGTCAGTTCTTGTGACAAGGTAACACATTTCTGGACCCCCATTTGCCTTCCTTAAGAAAGAGGTGCTTGGATTTATTTATTTATTTATTTATTTAGGGGTAAAACAAGACAGCCTGGCCAAAACATGGGGGAAAGCGTTTAGATTTGGAAGCAAGTACATGTATCATTAAAGAAATGGAGGCAGTGAGAGATTTTACTTTTTTGGGCTCTATGATCACTGCAGATAGTGACAGCAGCCACAAAATTAAAAGACGCCTGCTACTTGGGAGGAAAGCAATGACAAACCTAGACAGCATCTTAAAAAGTAGAGACATCACCTTGCCAACAAAGGTCCGTATAGTAAAAGCTATTGTTTTCCCAGTAGTGATGTATGGAAGTGAAAGCTGGACCATAAAGAAGGCTGATCGCTGAAGAATTGATGCTTTTGAATTATGGTGCTGGAGGAGACTCTTGAGAGTCCCATGGACTGCAAGAAGATCAAACCTATCCATTCTTAAGGAAATCAGCCCTGAGTGCTCACTGGAAGGACAGATCGTGAAGCTGAGGCTCCAATACTTGCCACCTGAGAGAGAAGACTCCCTGGAAAAGACCCTGATGCTGGGAAAGATGGAGGGCACAAGGAGAAGGGGACGACAGAGGACGAGATGGTTGGACAGTGTTCGCGAAGCTACCAGCATGAGTTTGACCAAACTGCGGGAGGCAGTGGAAGACAGAAGTGCCTGGCGTGCTCTGGTCCATGGGGTCATGAAGAGTTGGACACGACTAAACGACTAAACAACAACACATGTATCATTGGTGAAGAAGGAGAGAAGAAAAGCTCAATCTGGAGCCCATCATAACCGCACACTCTCTCCATCTCCTGTTCTCATGCTCGTCAGCATAAATCTCAACCTAACATAAGAAAGGAATTGCCTTCCTCACCCTAACCCTAAATTCATTTATTTGACCATTTTACCTTCAAGTGGTCAAGTTCTTATGGGCACTACATACTACAGTAAACTTGCTCACCGTAAGATATTTATAGGCAATCATTAATTAGTATTTGTTCTAAAAATGGTAGCACTAATTAGCCAGGAAAAGAACCAGGCCTAAGTTATTTTAAAGGACAAAGTCAGCATTAATGTTGATTACCACGCTAATTAGTCTTGGTGAAAAAGTAGGCCATTTGATCAAGACCAATTAGTACTCTGCCATTACAAAGGCCCATTGCAATTAAAGTTAACCCCTTTTTAGTTTACCTCCTGCCAGCTTAGCTTAGATCCTAAATAGATGGGAGCATTCTCCGAATGGATGGTTTTAATAATTTAGGCAAAATTTACACCAGACCAGTTTTCCACATTAGCTACATTTGGCTTCCATTCCCTAGACACCAGTGATCCACAGTCTCAGTGATTAGTTTTCACTGGCTAAACAAACCATTACCACACTGAGGTGTCCATGTCTAAACAGATCACTATCTGAAGAAGCAAAATCACCCCAACATTTGAGAGACTAAAACTTGGAGATCTTTCACAAACCACAAATCATTCTGAGCCAAAACTAAGTCCTTTAAAAAGCACATATTGCTGAATTTGTTCATGGCACAAACACTTCCCACCGCCTTAAGCAGAGTTTTTCTTCATTGATTTATTTCTCTTTTCTATCATGATTCCATGGCTGAAATTATTTCCAGTCTGTGTAGTTCACAAGGGCTCTCTGTAAGTGACATACCACCTGCCTGCCTATCAGTCTATCTTTATAAGACCGATATCCTGGACCCCAACACATGTGATCCCATGGCAGGCCACAACAAATAATATAATATTATTATTTTTTTTTAAAGGCATTTTAAATAGAGAACCAGTAATATATTACAATATTACACTGAGGTGGCAGAGAGGTTGGTGCAGTGCAAACACATCAGCGGAACCAAACCAGTGTTACTGCTAGTGCGTTTTTACCACAAAGGTTTCCCTGCTCCTCGCTCTTTACCTCCTGGTAAGGCACGAGGGTGGCACTGTGGGTTAAACCACAGAGCCTAGGACTTGCCGATCAGAAGGTCGGCGGTTTGAATCCCCGCGACGTGGTGAGCTCCCGTTGCTCGGTCCCTGCTCCTGCCAACCTAGCAGTTCGAAAGCATCTCAAAGTGCAAGTAGATAAATAGGTACCGCTCCGGCGGGAAGGTAAACGGCGTTTCCATGCACTGCTCTGGTTCACCAGAAGTGGCTTAGTCATGCTGGCCACATGACCCGGAAGCTGTACGCCAGCTCCCTCGGCCAGTAAAGTGAGATGAGCACCACAACCCCAGAGTCGGTCACGACTGGACCTAATGGTCAGGGGTCCCTTTACCTTTACTTTAAGGCACAGCAACATTGGTGACACAAGGTCATGACAATGTCACCACAGCCCCTCCATGCCGACTTTAACTGCAAAGAGCACATTCAGACATTCAGGAAGGGTCCAGTACTGTCCAGAAACCAGCAATCCAATGTACCTCCATCTTGTTGGGATAGTTTATCAGCCCTCATCCAATCCTTTACTGCCATTGGCCTTAGACAAAGGACTTTTAATTAGGACTGAGAGAGCTTGGGGAGATTCTCTTTACTAGCAAGCTCTTAGAACTTTCTAATATTGCAGAAGAGAGTCAGCTTAATTGCAATCAATGGATAATGCACTAGGGAAGGGAACCTGGCATTGAGGCATGCAGAGTGTATGGGGAAGGGGAATAGAAGACAGAGAGAGACCCCCTTAGGGCACTGGCAGCTTATTGGGCACTGGCATGGCCAACTACTCAGAGAGGTCTAGCCTTGGATCCCCCAGTCAATGGTGAGCCCAGGCTGGCACCACAGAGATAGGAAAAGGTGAAGAGTGATCCTCACATCCACACTTCCTGGCTCTGCTCGCAAAGCAGGTCTTTGTGCCAAGAGCAGGCACATCCATAGGGACAGGAAAAAGTAAAGAGTGATACTCACACACACATTTCCTGGCTGTGTTTGCAAAAAAATACCATATTTTTCTGTGTATAAGATGCTCCCATGTATAAGACGGCCCCTATTTTTGGAGCCCAAATTTAAGAAATAAATATTTTAAACATTCTATGTATAAGACAACCCCCAATTTTAAACTTGCAAAATTTGGGGGGAAATATAGTCTTATATACGGGAAAATACAGTAGTAATATAATGTTTGCACTGATAACCGCCACCAGTAGTTCTAGAAGGGAAAGCAAATCATTCACGGATCCAATCAGATCTGCAATCCGTGATGTGCCACTAAAATAGGGACACTTGGAAGATCTGAAGTTATATGGGCCAGTTGGTCAGCTCACTCCAAGGCAGCTGCCTATGTTCCTATGGTAGTAATGCCCTATTCTGCTATACTGTGGTTTATTAAAGAGGACACCAGCATTCAGATCAGGGGGTTCTTGCTTGATGATCCTAGTAGACCACTCTTTCCTGCGCCTAACTGATTCAACAGAGGCCTCATGTGTAGGTTTGTTCCCAGGTCTGTTAAGAAGGCAACTGCTTCTCATCTGACAGGGCTGAGAAGTGAACAGGGGGAGGAGATGAGTCAAACTGAGCCCAACCTATAAATATAGCTAATAACTACCTTACCTCGAAAAAGGAGCAAATGTAAAGACATAACAGACAGGTAATGGACAGCATTTAATTACCACGCGTGGAAAATTGGGGGAAGGAAATGTGCACAGGTTAACTGATGTTTCCAGTCTAAACTATGAATTTATAAATAGAATGCAATGGACTCCTAAATGAGCGCCCAAAATAAACTCAAAGAAGAAGCCACACAACACCAGGTGGAACCAAAGGCAAAGAACATACAAGAACATACAAAACAGGAACATACACATTACTGCTTTCCATCACACTTCTTATACATAGAATCATAGAGATGGAAGGCACTTTGAGGTCCAACTCTAGTCCAACTCTCTGCAATGCAGGAATATGCAGTTGTCCCATAAGGGGATCGAACCTGCAACCTTGCCATCACCAGCACCATGCTCTAACCCAGTGTTCCCCAACCTTGGGTCTCCAGCTGTTTTTGGACTGCAATTCCCATCATCCCTGACCACTGGTCTTGTTAGCAAGGGATGATGGGAGTTGTAGTCCAAAAACAGCTGGAGACCCAAGGTTGGGGAACACTGCTCTAACCAACTGAGCTATCCAGGCTGTCTGCCTTAGGAAACTCTGGTGCATCTTGGCTATCTCAGGTTGGTGTCATTCCTCACATATTGGCAGGAAGGGCAATAGTCCATGGGGCTTCCCTTCTGTGAGAGGTGCAGAACAATGAATAAATCCAACCCAGTGGCTTAATAACTTAATAAGGGCTATAAGGGCCTTCACAGTAGATGCTCCTAGGCTTTGGAACACCTTCCCTAGAGAAGCTAGACTGGCTTCCTCCTTGTGGTCCTTCAGCTGGCAACTTTCTTCTTTCACCAGGCTTTGGGTAGTGACAGCTTTTAATGAAAGGTTTTATTCCGTGCTGTTTTTATTGTAATCGTTTCTATGGTTTTAAAAGATACGTAAATAGATAGATGATAGATAGAGATAGATGATAGATAGATCAATAGATAGAAAGATAGATAGATAGATGATAGATAGATAGATAGATAGATAGATAGATAGATAGATGATAGATAGATAGATAGATAGATATAGATAGATGATAGATGATAGATAGATATAGATAGATGATAGATCTGATAATTATTGGTCGTCACCATTCATTGGCTCTAATGTAACATCCTACATGAAAGGCAGATCAAGACATCTCTAGTCTCACCTGCCACTT